ATTAAGGAAGTTCATTCCACGGATAGCGAATGAGCGTTTCCAGGTTTCTGTACGTGGAGCGCGGAAGTGCTGGCCGGTTTCTTGTAGATCTACTATTGATGATTTGCTCATCAAGAAGAGACAAGTTAGTTACGAGATAAGCGGGCGCACTGTCACAAGCGACCTTGTACAGGAGTCTGGCGAGAGCGATGTTACGCATGGAGGCAAGTGAGAGCCAGTTGAATTTCAACCGGTGGAATGAAACATGTGTTGAGAGGTCATTTGTTGGGATATATGGAATGTACCCAGCAACAAACCGGACGCAGGCGTTTTGTGCGACCTGAAGATCAGATGAGCGCTCTTTATCAAGGTCCATAAAAACAACCGAGGCGTAGTTGAAGATTGGAAATACAAGAGTTCCGACCAAGTGTTTCTTCATGTTCAAAGACATAGATTTCCGGTGGAATTTTAGAGAAGACAGAGATGAACCTTTCGAATGATATCGGAAGTGTGATACTTCTATTTGGAGAGTGGAGGACAAAGTAACCCCAAGACTTTTGGCTGTGTTTGAGAATGGAATCGGTATGCCGTTTATCACAAATTGTGGCAGAATAGCAAAGTTAATCTCTGCAATATATGCCTCACTGCCAATAATCATAGCTTTAGTTTTGGTTAGGTTGATGTCGAAGCAGTGTGCTGCTGCTCAGTCGGCGACCGCCTGTGCATCAATCTGGGCTTGATGTAGGCCCATCTTGAGGTCATGGGGTGAGCAATGGACATAAATTTGCGTGTCATCAGCATAGATGATATGCTTAGCAAACTGAAGTACTTTCGGTAGGTCGTTTATATAGATTGCGAAGAGCAGAGGTCCTAAGACGCTACCCTGGGGAACGCCAGAGGTAGCGCGAAGCCATTGAGTGAATGAGCCATTTTCCTCTATTACTGAATGAGTCCGATCGGCTAAATAGTTGAAGAACCAGGTAAGAGAGCTATCAGAGACATTGATAGCGCGGAGTTTCTTCAGGAGAAGAGTATGGGAGATGCAATCAAAAGCTTTCGAGAAGTCAAATAGGACCAAGATGGTAACTTTACGCTTCTCGATCGCAAGTCTCACGTCGTCAAGCAGTCCAAGTAGCGCCGTCTCCGTGGAATGACCTTTGCGAAAACCGGTTTGGCGCGAATCGAGTAGCTTGTTCACCTCAAGGAAAGATGAGACCTGGCGATGTACGAGCGGCTCGAACACTTTGGAGGGCTCACAAAGCTTGGCAATCGGCCTGACATCGGAAAGCATTAAAGGCGTTTTAGTCTTGGATAGCGGAGTAATCAGGGTCCTTTTCCAGAATGGCGGGTAAAATAAGCTTTCAATGGACTGATTATATAATGCTGTGAGGTGTAGGATAACGGAGTCCTATACAAGCGACAGCATATGCAGTGAGAGACCATCCTCTCCTTTCGATTTAGAGTTAGCATCATCAAGCGCTGCCCTGACTTGTTTCACTGTTACAGGTTGAAGTTTGAATGATGGGTACGAAAACCAGCGCACGGGCGCCGTGCCGATGATGTTGGTGAGATCATCTTGAGTTATTGGAGGGCAGCGATTTACGATGTTGGCACAATGAACATTGAGAGCTTGCGGTGAGAAAAAAAGGAATGGCGATGGGAAGTCTCTGTGAGAGATGCCGATATTGCGTAATTCTCGCCATTTATTTTTCGGATCGGGAGCGCTTCGGAGCTTTCGAGCGATGTAAGCATTCTTAGCAGTGTCGAGCTCATTCGATACCATGTTTCTCAACTCTTTGTATTTGGCAGCATCGCCTGGGAATGATTTATAACGGGTGCGCTTGAAAGCAGAGTCACGTGCTCGCACGTGCGCTCTGATTTGAGGTGAAACCCAGGGCTTTCTTTTGCATGAAAGCTTGACCTCACGAATAGGAGCAAGATAGTCAAAGGCATTTATGATTGCATTCGATAGCATGCGCTCGTGCCAATCAACGTCAGCAAGTGTAATACAGGAGGTGCCACCCGATGAAGTCGGGAGCGGAGCTTGCGGACTCAACGACATGATTAGCTGTGAAGCGAGGGAGTTTAGGGCACATTTATGTCAACTGTATGAAGGCGTCTTGAGTAGATAGTCTTCGAGGAGTTTTGCGGGACAAAGCAGTTAATAGTTAATTCTATTAGATCGTGCCATTCGATGAAAGGAGACTCGGTCTTAGAAAAGGAATGTATGTCCATACTGTGTTTAACGATAAAGAGGTCAAGTGCTGTGTGTGTGATAGTGTCAATGCTGCGTTTGTGACACGTGGGCTCCGTTGATACAGCTACCAGTCCGTGAGACTCGATGAGGTCCTTAAGTGTCCGTGAGTGAGGTAGAGTGTTTGACAGCAAATCGGCATTGTAGTCGCCGATCGCGATGACGTCAGTGTAGTGTGGTAAATAAGAGGATAAGCATTCAAAAAACACCACGGGAGCGAGAGCAGCTGGTCGTCGATAAACAATAGCGAGTAAGAGTGATATGTAATCATTTTTTATTTCAGCGATTATGTACTCCGGAGAGTTACACATGGGATCCGGCGCAGATTTACTAAGAATTTTGACAGAATACATGTCTCTTGCATAAAAGCCAACTCCGCCGCCATCAAGAGTTGCTCGGTCATGCCGATGAAGATTGTAACCGTCAAGCTTTAAATGAGAATCGGGAATGTGATCTTTCAGAAACGTTTCAGTGACGGCGACTACATCGTAATAAAAATCATGCACTCGTGTTTCTAGAAGCGCAAAGTTCGCTGGGCAGTTAAGGCGGTTGATGTTGGAGTGCGCTATGGAAAACGGAAAGAGAGAGGCGGAGTTGTCGATGCGATTGTTGGCCAAGCGTCATGATATGACGTTAGCGGCGGAAACTGAGGCAGTGAAGTTCGCCTGAGAGGAATTGCGGTCGGTCATGGTATTTATTGGTTGCGAGTCTGACGAGATCGCTGGTAGACAATTCGACGATTCAGTTGACTGGGCCCCAATGTTTATGGCGGCACTGGGGCTAGTGTTAGCTATCATATTCTGCAATGAAGTCGATTGAGAAGGAATATTCTGGTCGTATTGCTGGACTAGCTGTTGTTGTTGAAGGAGGTGTTGCTGCTGCTGTGCGAGGAAATGCTGTTGCTGTTGCTGTTGCTGTTGCAGTTGCAGTTGCTGTTGGTTGAGTTGCTGAGGCTGATATTGGAAATGCGAGGTGCGCCGGTAGTTTGGGTTTGGCTGGTACGACGTATTGGGAAGAGGTGGAGCATAGGGGGGCTGGGAGAGTTGCTGACTGAAATTCGGAAGAGCTTTTGGGCCTGTTTGGCGGTTTAGTGTTTTGCGGGGGTTTCTGGGCATCATTACATTCGGTCTATCCTGCTGCTGCGAGTGCGGGGGATGGACATGAAGAGTAGGATTAGTTGACTTGGTGCCGGGTGGATTACTATTTGGAATGGCGTGCCGAGCCTGATCGTATTGGAGCCGGGGAAGATTTGACAGGTCCTCTTCTGCAAGTACGGGAATAAGGTCCAACTGGACAGTCTGGCGTGCGAAAACTCGAAGGTTTCGGACTACAGGACGGGTGTAGCCAAGAGAGTCGGATGCAGCACGTGTTTTGGACAGAAGTTCAAAGACAGGCTTTGAAAATCGGTGACATCGAATATGCGGCGAGGCATGTAGGCAATTATAGTTGTTGACTTATCGACTGCCGCGACAACTTGAGTAGTTCAAGAAAAAGCGTATGTCGCGTCAGCCGACAAGAAAAATTTTTGAGCGATTTGAAAGGCGCGCGCGCACTGGTGCCAACGTGCTAAGCGAAGTTTGCCAACTTGAGTCTATTGCGCAAAAATATTGGCGGTCCTAGCCTTAAATTAATGACACAGCAAAATATGAACATTTCTGACAGAGCAACAATTAAGCATCACAAAACTGTGCTGTTGCACACGACGCATTGCAAGCTCGGGTACTCGCCAATAACAATCAATCACTCACTCTCTCATAGAATTCGCAGTTTTGAAGCGACGATTACGTGCCGGCGGAGACTCAGTGTGTGCAATCCAATGTTGGGAGAGATGTGCATGGAGTTTGTGGTCGGTGCAAGCAAGCGACGTGACAGCGTGGGCGGGATGCAAACGAGGCTCGATGATCGTCAAGATTTGCATGAGATTGCGTGTGAGTGTATGTGTGTGTGTGTGTGTGTGTGTGAGGTCGCTCCGCCGCCGAACGCGAGCCGGAGAGTGATATAGCGTGTAAGAAAGCCTGTAAAATGCAGAGCGAAAAAAAAAGTACGTGTGACGGCACAGAGAGAGAGAGAGAGAGAGAGAGAGAGAGAGAGAGAGAGAGAGAGAGAGAACAAACGCTCGGCGCGAATACAAAATATCATTCGCCATAGACAAAATACTCTCGCTAGTATTTTGTCGCGCATAAAAATGGAGGTGCACCTACCCTGCGGTGCAATTACGGTGATACTGCTGTTGTAATGCTGTTCCTGTGATGCTTCCTCGCTAACACTGGCACGTATCGAAAATCACAGGAAAACTATTTTATGGAAAACGGCGAAACACTGTGTAAACCTAATTTGGTGGTACTCTCACTAGTAACAGCTGAGGCTTAACTGAAACTTTTAAACTCTCGCGCGCTCTCTCTCTCTCTTAGTCGTTCGCTCTAGCGTCGCGAGTATTACCGAATCGCAAACGGATCGATTAATCGAATCGACTACCGTTGCATTACATACAGTCTATTCATATATCAGATTTATATTTTTTGAAGGATCTGTCGAGGAAGGAATTGAATATATTTAAAAACTTTTAAAACAACTAAACTAATACGTAGTACTTCTAGCGGTTACATTACTGATTATCATATTGGTATAGGTGATCTCTATTGATGATAGGAGTAAGCTTTTAGGATTAATAAGAGATTTCCAGGTTTAGTATGAATTCAGTATTATAGCGGGTGATGGATCCAATAAGTTTTTTAAAATACGTTATTGATATTCATTTGATATGTACCTTAATCCACTGTAACAACCACTAGGATGTTGCCAATTCATGATCAGGTTTTCATAATGGTTGCTCAGGAAATCTGCATAACCCTCCATACCACATAATAAAACTGAAAATGAAAATCGATATACTTTAATAATTGATTATACGGTGAATATTGGTGAATATTCTATTTGCCAATATTGTTTACGTAACTTTGCTCTGAAGCCAAATCTTTACTAATATATGGGAAATCCATTGCTTCAAAATTAACTAAATTTTGCAACATTAATGAGCAAAATTTTAATGTAAAATATGTAAAATTTTGCATCAGACCATTTTCACATCTGAGCTGAAAAAATATATTAATGAGAATTGTTTCACATATTTTTAAAAATTGACCACTTTATAATTTATAAAGGACATGTTATACGGGTGAGACTGTCGAATAAATATGACCCCACATTAGTGGCAACGTTTCTGTTCACCGCGCTTTAACATAATACACGCAAAAATTTCTCAGCGATCTTAAGCTAGCATTACAAATGTATCCACATATGTATATATCTAACCTATAAATAAAAAAATTAGGTATCATTTACGTCTATGTTACGTAAATAGCTTTATAAGCTCGTCAAAAGAATTTTAGCCGTAAAGCCGAAGTACGTACGCGAAATATACGAAACCTCTCTCTCATAATTACTAAGTTAAGTAATCAGCAGTCTAAAAATTAATAGGTCATAGAACAAATCAAACCGCAAAAAATCGTATTTTTGTAGATTTTTTGTTAGTATATCATCTTAAGATTAGTATATTAAATTTTTATAACAATCGTATCAATATTTTTGAAATTATACTCTTATGAATGACCTTTTCTTTGAACGCGAGCGACGAGCGCACAGCGGGTGCCCGGCGTAATACTGTCTTCCTGAATGCGTTTACCTGCTTAGGTATCTTTGTCTAGATATGTTGTAGCATTTTCTGTGGGACATTTTTGCCGAAAATTTGCAGAACTATAAGTATCTATGAAATAGAAGATAACTTATAAAACACCAAAAAAATAATTATTGTACGATAAACTACTATCAAAACTTTACACGCAATTTACTTGAAACTACATTTTTAAAGTCAATAAACATTGTAGCTAAAAAAGTAACGAATCGATCTTACGAAAACTGGCATGGATAATTTAGAGATATATCAGAAATATTTGACGTTCCCCTTTTTTCATTTTTAATCAGATATTATTTTTATGATCAATTTATTGCGTTTTTTTCTATTGAAAAATGCCTTTCTTTCAAGTATCCGCATTTTGTGATAATTTCATAAAAAACAAATTTGGATTTGGTTAAGTTATCAAATATACTTTTTTCTTAACATAAAATATCTTCATTTATGATTTCAGATGATCTATTTACGACGTAGAATGTTCACTGCACGTAAACTTTTTTCCAAGAAACTCCGGCAAATCGGTAATAAAATATTTATTTGAAAAAATAATGAAAATTATACTGAATGGTAGTATATGATATACATAAGCGTTTATTTCAATTTATTGAATTACTTTCCCACATAAAATTTACAAAAAGTAATCTTTTTTTGTATAGATTTATCCTACAACCCCTTAATAGTCTTTAGTTTTTTATGCATACAGCCTCATCATGCCGATCAAAGCAACGTTAACAGAGAATCTATTAATAAAAAAAGTAGTTGTATGAAGAGTAAAATACATGAAAAAAGTTTCATTAAATGAACTTTATTAAACACAGAGCAAGCTTGTTCAGGTTAAGGTAGAGTGAAATAAATATCAATCAATTAAATGAAATTCTTAACTTTACTACAAGATTTTCCAAAAACGATAATATAGTAAAATGAAAATAAAACTCGCATAAGCCTCAAATCACAAAGATTACTTAAACTAAATAAAAAATAATGACGAAATACAAAGTTTAAACTACAACTCATTTACGCCGCAAGAAATCTAAAAAGTAGCACTTACAAGTGAACCGGAAAAAAAAAATTGCGCTTTGTGAAAGCAAAGTCACCAGATCGTTCGAGCGTCTGATCAGTTATAAGGATTTTTCACTACCCGTTCGGCCGCTGAGAAAATTTTGAAGCCCCTTTTCCCTCTTTTCACTCCGGCTAGTTGATCGGGGTGTGTCTTTTTTCCGCTGTCCGGTAGACTTTTCTGCTGTAAGCCGTGCTCTTCTTTGCCTCTTCCATTCGTTCCAAATAGGAGAGGGCGCAATTTTCTTCAGCCGTTTGGCCAATTGTGTGCGCGGCCTACTACCCCGCTCCTCGTACAACGCTGCCGATCGGCCTCGGTGAGACCCGATATGGCCTCCTGTTCCGCAAATTTGAAAGGTGGAAGCAAGTAACTCCACATTTTCGCGGGTATCAGATGTGAAAACCGATGCGTTTTTGGCCCGATACCCAAGCACGGCCATGAGCTTGCTTATTGATAAGCGCTCATGGCACGTGTTGACATATGTCGAGGGCGATGATAGTGGCATTGCGTCTTTAACAACGATACAGGGTGTTTCTCACTGCGTGACATGTGCACGCGAAGATTTTGATGTACAGCGTGAGATGCGTGGGCAAATTCTTTGTGATCGACGATCATTGCTGTTGAGCTGTAACAATGCCATATTTATATTCAGAGTTGCAACAGCATATTTATATACAGAGTTTCCCGTCTATTTTCGCAGGATAGCCCTCTTCGAGTTGTTTACGCAATTCTGCGAAATCATTTTTTCTAATTTACAAGAGAATAAATAGTAATAACGAAATTCTAAAACATGTAAATTTTACAGAAGTAGATATAGATCATATGAGTATAATTTACAATTATTGTAAAAAGTATAGTTAAAAGTTATTAGCTGTAACGGGATGATTATCTATATAAAATGAGAAATTTATTTAAGCACAAATTCCCACGATGCATAGCTAACCGCCGCTCCGTTAAACACGTATAGTTATACGTGTATTCGCCTTTACGTCTGATGATTTCGTTTCAGTGTCTTCTTTCCAACCGAGTTGAACTCACCTTAAGTCACTTGACTTGTAACACTCTATCTATCTTAGGTGTGACTGACTTAATACCTAATCCGCCTGATGCCCTAGATGAAATCGGAATAAGAATTAAGCCTTTACAGATCGAATAAGCTAATAGGAAACAAAATGACGTAAACGATGAATAAAATTAACAAAGTTTAATCAATAAAAACTACAGTCTTTTATGGGCCGAAAGACTAATGCACGCGATAGGATTCACAATTATAAATTATAATTCGGTAAGAGAGAGTGAGAGATAGAGAGAGAGAGAGAGAGAGAGAGAGAGATAGATAGATAGATAGATAAGAATTTTATTCACCGTGATGGCAAAACATGAAATACAATAATATATAACATATATACAGTAATTGTCACAGCTTTCAGTCAATTTACATTATACCGTACAGGCATCACATTTCATCACAGTTCGATTACAATTGTAGTTCCTCAGTCAATAAATAAGATTATGATTGTAGTTATTACGTTAAAATAAATAGACTAGGACTTGACTAGTTCACAGTTCGATATTCCAGAGGAAACAATAATTCTTATAACTACAGTCTAGCTTGCTTATCTTAAAACTAGTAATGCAGTCAAAAGTTTAGACTAGTTTTCGTCATACAGACACAAAACAGCACAATAAATAAATAAATAAATATGATACACTACAAACACGTAAATAAATAACTGTTTAAACAACAGTAAACAATAGAAATAAATATACTCCAGTGGTACCACCCTACGCATTCAATGACGCAAAGTATCCGCGCGCCCCCCTCTTAAAGCTGCTAAGCGACGGCGCATGCCGCAGGTCAGATGGAAGAGTGTTCCAGAGATGGGCACCCATCACCTGGAAAGACCTGCGAGCCGTCTCCCTTCTAACCTTAGCAACTCTAAGCTCAGCCTGCCCCGCCCTACCCGGATACCTTGAATTGTGCCCTATGAAGAGCTCAGCCAGGTAGCCAGGCTCACGCATGGTCAAGCACCTGTACATTAGCAGGGACATAAAATATTCCCTGCGCACGTCCACGCGAAGCCAACCCAACCGCGACCTTTAAGGAGAGACCGAGACATCGCGCGGGATACCATAGATGTATCTTACGCACGCGTTGCTCAGTCTCTGTAGCCGCTCCCTCTGCTCCGCCGAGGCTCCCAAACACACCACGGTGCAGTAGTCCAGGTGAGGCTGGACCATCGACTCCACCAGTCTGCGCCGGAGCAGCTCCGTAGTACACGGCCTAACAAAACGCAGACCGTACAGAGCTCTCCAAACTTTCGCCGCGACCCGGTCAATGTGCGATCTCTACGACAGCTTGCTATCGAGAACGACCCCGAGACTGGTTACTTCATCACTAAAGGGAACAAATACTCCCTCTTGCACCTCAACACCAGGCAAGACCTCCGCGTATATGTCATTGACATGTTTGTTAGTTCCAAATATGATAGCTTTGGTCTTGCCCGCGTTCAGGCGCAGATCCGAATCCCGGGCCCAGTTCGCCACCAATCTCGCAGCCTCCGTCAGCATTCGGATGCCCTTCGTCAATTCATTTTTATGTATATGCAGATAAATCTGCAAGTCATCCGCATAGAAGAGGTATGAAACCTCATGTCCACGGAGCACATCTTTCAGATCGCTGACATACAGACAAAACAAGAGCGGTCCCAGCACCGAGCCTTGTGGAACCCCCAGATTCGTCTTCCGCCACTCCGAGCCCCCACCCCCAGCAGTAACCCTTTGCGAGCGACCACCGAGGTAGGACCTCAGCCATTGGAGAGCAGAACCAGAAAAACCAAGAGCATGGAGCTTGCGCAAAAGTCTCGAAGGTGATATAGTATCGAACGCCTTGCTGAAATCGAATAACAGCAAGAGCGTCACCATCTTTTTGTCAACGCCCATTCGGATGTCATCCGTCAACTTTAATAACGCTGTCTGAGTACTGTGGCCCCGCCTAAAGCCGGCCTGGAGGGGATCAAAAAGATTTTCTCTATTCAGATACTCCGTGATCTGGTCATGGGCAAGCTTCTCGAGAACCTTTGAAAGAAAGCAAAGCAAAGCTATCGGACGAAAGTCCGAGGCCGAGGAAGGGGTGTTGTTCTTCCTCAAGGCAATCAGCTGTGCCCGCTTCCAGGCTCCCGGGAACTCCCCCTTAGCAAATGAGGAATTAAATATTGACCCCAGGTGCTCACCTATGACTGGAAGAGTCTTCACCACCACCCCACGGGGAATCCCGTCCACGCCGCTCGCTTGTGATGTAAAATGGGAGACAGCTAGGATGACGTCATTAATGCCAACAGGTT